TCCAATAATATTTCTTTACTCACATCACTAAGATTATTTAACATATTATAAGTAACTTGATTATTACCAGGAGTTGATTTACTAGAATTCCTCAGAGCTTTATTTAATTCTAACAAGGAAAATTTCATATTAATAAAATCATCATATTCTTCATCATCATGCAATAATCCAATATTTCGCTGTAGAGTAGTTTCACGTCCTATTTTTTCTTTATTATTGAGATTCTCTGTACTATGTATTTTTGCAAATATTTTTGCTAATACCTCAGCTTTATTTTCATTATTTATTATAATATTTCCATTATCTTATATTACTGGGAAAAAATACCCTTTTGAATTCCCAGACATTTTTTTTAATAGTATTCCAAACCCTGTCTAATGCAGTGTTTTTCCCCAAAGATTCACAATACTTCCTCCAATAATCCCTTTTAGCCTTTCTTATAGTTTTACTGACTTCTGCCTGCTTCCTTTTATACTTTATTAGATTTTGGAAACAAGTTATTTTCTTAAGTGTCTTAAAAGCTTTATTTCTTTGTTTAATTACTATTGAGCATTCTGGTGTCCACCAAGGAACTATCTTCTTTTTTTTAATACCACTACTTCTAGGAATAAATGTTTTGGCTGAATTAATAATACATTTGGTAATTTCTGAGTTTAATTCATTTATTGGTTTATTTATATCTACATTTTCCAAGTTAACCTCACTCATAATTTCAAATTTACTCCAATCTGCTTTCTCAAACTTCCACTTCCCCTCAAATTCTGCCTGCTCTTGCTCTGTATCTATACCTATATTGACAAAAATTGGATAATGATCACTCCCCATTGTACATTCCTTAAATACTTTCCATCTACACATACCAGCAAAAGATTGAGAAACCAAAGTCAGATCAATAGCAGATTCTTTACCCCTTACAAAGTCCACCCGAGTGTCTTCTCCATTATTTAGAATGACTAATTCTTTTTCTTCAATCACCTCTTCTAAAATCCCTCCATTATATAATCATCTTGATCTCCCCATAAAGTGCTATGTGCATTGAAATCCCCACACCAAACTATTTTCCCTCTCCAGTTTCCTAGGATTGTTTCAAGTTTAAACGTTTCTAATTGTTTACAAGGATTGTACAAATTTATTATTTTAATATTCCCATCATTTGTACAAATTTCTACAGTAGTAAGTTCTAGGTCTGACAATATTTGTAGCTGAATAAATTTTGTTTTCCTTTAAGAATATAGCACAACCTCCTCCACTCCCATTTGACCTGTCTTTACATCAGGGGTCACCAATTCCAGTCCTCCAGGGCTACCATCCTGCAACTTTTAGATTCACTTCTGCTCCAAAATGTCTGAATTCCCTCACCAGCATTCATTCCTCTCTGCAATAGGCTGGAAATGAGCAGTTTATTTGATCCAGGTGTGTTTGAGCAGAGATGCATCTAAAAGTTACAGGATGGTGGCCCTGGAGGACTGGAGTTGGTGACCCCTGCTTTACGTAAAACTGAGTAACCATGAATATTAAACTGTAATGATGGCTTGAGCCACGTTTCTTGAATGCATATTATATCTGGTTTTGGATTTAATTTATTAATGAAGCCTTTAAATTCCTGACCATTTGCTATTAGACTGCAAGCATTCCATTGTAATATTAGAATTATGTGATAATTTGAGATGCCTCAGGTTCAGATGATCCTTCACCCTGTCTAGGTTATCATGAATTTTTTCCCTTTGACACTAAAAAATTTCGTAGCTGCTTTCACAATAATTTTTATTTTTTCAGTTTTAGTTTTTGCTTGTTCTGAGCAATTTATGATATATGCAAGAAAAGGAATCAATTTTTCTAACATAATATTACACTGATTAATGTCTGCCACCGTCTTCCTCTCATAGCTTATTTTTGGTGCATTATCATTACTTTTCACCTGTTTCACTGCTTCAGCATAAGTAATTTTGTTTTCAGTTTTTACTTTTTGAACTTCATCTGCCTCTTTCCTTACAGTGCATCCTACATATGCTGCAGTATGATTTCCTCCACAGTTACAACATTTAATAGGATTATTTCCACACTCACCATAAGGATGTTCGCCTCCACATCTATCACACCTCTGTTTCCCTTTACAAACGTTTGCAGTATGTCCATATCTGTGGCATTTATAACAACTGAGCGGTGGTGGAATATATTGCCTTACATTAAAGCTCATGTAGCCAATCCATCACCTTATCAGGCAGAACTCTCTTTGAAATCCATTAGTACAGATGTACTGTCCATTTTCTCCCCATTTCTAAAAGCCTGTAGTCGTTTGATGCCTGTAATTTCTCCTCCTTTGATTATTTTCTTTAGCTCCTCCAAATTTTCTCCTACTGGAATTCCTGATATTACTCATTTTTCTTCCCCAACAACCTCTTTCCAGCACTTCCTTTTTACACACCATTTGTAATTTTAGAGCTTTATTCTTTTGTTCAGCATTTTTACAAATGATAAGCAGACTTCCATTTCTTAAGACTTTAGCTAGTTCTACATCCCCAACAGCTTTCTTTAATCCACTTGACAAACTAATGGGGCTCACTCCAAACATATCCTGTCCAGTCTTAAATTTTAATATAACTTTAAAATCTTCCATCATTACTTTCTTCCTTATTTCAATTCTTTCTTCTTCATCCTCAAGAGATCTTTTTCCAGTATTTATTCCCTTTTTAGCCTTATCTTCCCCCCCCCCACACCCTTCTATTTTCTACCATAGACCATCCTGTATCCATATTCTCATCCTCCAAAAGTCCCCCACTACTACTTGCCATCTTGATCCACTCACAACTGGATTATGCCAAAAACCACCTATGGATTAATTTAGTAGACGCCAGTAAACGTTTAAACCCAATCCGTGTCTTCTCGCCAGCCGACATCAGGAAAAAAACAATCCACTGCCGACTCCCAACTCCCTTCGCCTTCTCCTTCCATCCAGGCTCCTTTTATTCTGGCTTCAATCAGCCTCTGCTGACACCTGAGCACACTGATTACAGAACGCAATCAGTGCGCTCCACCTCCTTAAACGGCTGCCTTCAGCCCATTGCGTTTGGGTTGGGAAAAAAAAACAAAAAAAAACAATCCAAACATGCAAAACACAACAAAAAAATTAAAAGAAAAGAAAACAATCATATTTTCCCCTGTGCAACACATAAATAGAAACCATTACCCTGTACCATGGTGTATAGCTAGTAGCTGTCTTGCTGATGTGCCCGATCACCACAACAAGAGGCAGCCAAGCTAACCAGTTGTGTGTTTATCAGAAAATGACTCCCCAAACACCAACTAACGTGTATGTTAGATGTCTGGAGAATCAGGAATTTCTTAATGATGTTCCACTGGTGTAAAACTGCAACTTTCCGAGATGCATGTTAGCCTGTAAATATGCAGAGAAACCTGGTAACATCCTGAGACTGAGTTCCTGTGAAAGCTTACAACACATCAGGAATCACAAGCCAGATCATTTTGTATGATCTGCTGCTTGAAAGTGAAGCAGCAATCTTATGGGGTTTTTTCTTCTTCAGGTGTTTCACTGTTGTTTTTTGGGGTACTTATAAAGGCATGGTAGCATTTTGGTCAGATAATCCCGTTCCAGTTACGATTTACAAGGATTCTTAATTATTGCAATATAGAAAACGAGAAACATATAACATTTGTTGGTACTAAGCACTTGGTTTGCACTACACTTTATTTTCAATATTGTCAGTTCAAACAGATGTATATTAAAAGAAATTGTTAGCATTACCAGCATGAACATTTTTTCTAACTGCTCATGCAGCAATATTTATTTACATCTAATGAGGTTTTGGAAACAATATCTTGATCTTTTGTCCAATATTTAAAAAAAATTCAAATGTATGTGCCTAGATATCCAATAATACAACCAAACTATCCCCTTTTGGAGCTAACTTTAGCTAAGTTATCAAAGCAGAAAAACTCAAACCAAATATTTTCAAGTATCAATGACCATTATTGATACTTGAGTAACACTTGTTCAGAAGTGTACTGTAAATGTATAGTATTTTATCTTCTATATTCTCATTCTATATTCTCATTCTATATTCTCATTTCAAACAAATGTTTAGCAACCAAAAACAGCTAGCATGATCAATTTGTTTAACTTCTAAAGCAAACTAATATCTAATGAAAACTTTGCTTATAGTAGCCCATTTTAATCATGATTTTGAAAGATTGCTGTCAAGAAAACATGACATTTTTTGTTGCAGGTTACTTAATAGAGGTAGTAGTTTTTGATTCTAACAGAAAAAGATTACAAAAATAATTCTATTGATACATCATGTCACTAATCTTGATTTGATATTCAGCCAACTCGAAAATCAATCAAAGTACATGCTGTTGGGGTGCCCGTTTAGAAACTTGAAAGAGGAGTATTTCACAAAAAAGAAAAGTAGATTTTTCAGAATCTGACCTGCTGGACATCAGTTTTCAATGGGAAATCGTCTGATTCCAATCTCTGCCGTTTGATAAGCGAATCTTCATTTAGATCTGGTCTCAGACTTTTTGAATCTCTGCAAATTCTTGAGAGAGCGGGGCATTTAGAGGCTTTGTGCTTTCATCAGCACATGCAGCCTTTAAGTGGCTCAACCAGACTTAATTAGCCTCATCTCTGTGGCACACTGCAGCCTTTTGCTCAAATTAATCTTCTCAGGTTAATGCCCAGCACTCCCTCTACCAACCGTCTCTAACAGAAGGCAGATTACTTAGCTAAAAGAGGAATCCTGTATGCAGCCACAGCTAATGAACTTGATTAATTAAACTGAGACTCTTCCTAATTAATGTCTTATTGCACTTTATCCCACTATGACCCTGTAACAAAAGGGAGGAAACTGTGGTTTACCAAAGAGAAGTTTGTACTCATTGATTTATTTGATAGAGTCTTAATTAAAGAGTGATAACGTTTAGTGTGTTTCCACGGAGAGAGGAAAACATTTAATTATGTCATTTCTGTCTTTGTCCTGCAGGTTAATGGGAAGGACCTCTCAAAAGCCACCCATGAGCAAGCAGTGGAGGCATTCCGCACCGCCAAGGAGCCCATCATGGTTCAAGTTCTACGCCAGGGTCTTTACCCCCAACTGCTCGCCCCCATCACAGACACCCAGGTGTCAGACATCAGTACCCAGACCGACATCACCCTCCAGCACATCGTGGCTCTCACCAAGCTGCCTCCCGCCTCACCCCCGAGGACAGAGCTAGAGGAGTATCTGCTGCCGGAGGAGTGAGTAGAGTAGCTGATAGCACTGCATCGCAGATTCATGGGAACTTCAGAGCGATCAAAGACCGAATACGGTCAAGGTCTTGGCATAGATTATTCTTCTCCTTAGTTAATCTTTTTTTCCTGGAGTCTTAGAGGATGAACCAGGGAAATTCCTTATCCACAAATTAAAAGTCCATCTTGATGTAAAAGGAAACATACAGACAGAACAACGTTGCTGACACACCTGGTAAAGATGTGTTTAACTAACTTAGAGAGATCTTAAACTGCTCTTTTTGTGCACAATTTCTTAACCTCTTCTCTCATCACAAATGTTTTGTGTGTGTGTGGCCTGGGATGAAAACAGACTCTAGAGATGTGTTGCACACTCGAACAAAGTGATGTCGAAACATACGGTGGTTGTAAAGTTCCTTTACTTTACTTTTTTTCTGAATCTGAACATACAAAACACATTCATCGATCCGACGTGCGTCACACTATGGCTGCTATGTTCTTCTTCTTCTTCTTCTTCTACCACGAAACATAGGACCCGAGGCTGCCCTAAGCGCCTGTTAAAAACTGATCCCTTTCCAAACTCGCTTCACTCTCAGACAGAATAGATACCAACATATGTGAATATTCAGCTAAACATGGACAATGAAACAGTGCTTTTTAATAACAAAGCAAAACAAAGTATTCATAGACTCATAGACAATAGACTCATATTTTAATGGAAGGGGGGTTCCTTGATCTAAAGTCTCCAGCAACTGGTCCCTCACAGATGCACCAATCAGGTGTTATTTCTGGTCCGCTCTGGTTCTCTAAGATCTAACTGATCAGTCACCACTTTTTATTTTGTAACATAGAACATAGAAACATGTTCATAGAAAATTTTAAATTAATTTTACCTGCTGATAATCAATCAGCAGGTCAACTGATTCCAATTTCAGCTGTTCGATTGGTAAATTTCTACCTAGCTCTGCATAGACCTGTGGTTGAGTTAGCCACACTTTGAATCGTTAACCTGTTAAAACAGGGGTCCCCAAACTTTTTCCTGCGAGGGCCACATAGCTGTTCCTTTCTGTGGTCGGGGGCCGGTCTTAG